GAGAGAGAGAGAGAGAGAGATTTTGTCTTACTTTACTTTGCTTTAGTTACAATTTCTTAGGAAACAAGTTTTACTTTGGGTCACTAGACGTCAACAGTCTTTGTGACTTACTTTCACTTTCTCATGAAGATTTCAGTTGAGCATGGACTTTGTTGATTTCAGTCTAGATTTAATTTCATTTTGCCAGCAGTGAATTGCAGCGATTACTTCCTGCCTGCTTCTGGTCACCCATGCTTCTGTGGTCGATGATCCTTCAGGGACAAGAACAATAGACCTTCTAGAAGAAGTGAAGGTGGGACATTCTACCCAAAGATACTACGTTCATGATGGCTGAGACAGACTGTCCTCGCTCTGCACGCTCGGGACTCTGTTTTGTGGCTTCTGAGACAAAATCACAAAGCTTTCATTCTGTCTGATGGGTGAACCGTCATCATACTTCTCTCTTTAAGAAGCAGCTCTGCATCTTGAGAGTTTCTGCCAGGGACATCCATCATCTCCCCAGGACTCTGTCATGATTTATTAAAAGCTTTATGTCATACCTTATTGGAAACTGTGCCCATCAACACACAGAGTTTTTGTTTCACTCTTTTCTCCTGAATTTCACAAGAACCATCAACTGCAGGTTCCATCAAGGCTCATAAACAAATAACCAACAAATTTAAGTCTATTTCAATCGACAGGGTTGTTGTTGCCAACGGTGGAGGTGGATGATCGTGTCTTTACATGTTTGATACAAGCAGAAACTGCGGCGGACAACATGCATTCCTTTGAGGATGCTGTGCCTTGAATTGTAATAGTTTGCATCAACTTTAAGAAAGAAACAAAAGAGACATTTTTGATCATTTTCAAACCACTCGAACAAGAATGTCTGCATGGCTGCAGCTTTTTACTTGCAAATGTTTGAGTTGGGATTTTTGTTCTCGCAGAAACCCAAACACCCCCCACCGCCGTGCCATTCTGTGTGATCGCTGATGTGGAATTTAGGAAGGGGAGTGGAGACCATTGTTTTGATCCACTTGGCATGCAGCTCTCTTCATACATATAACTCATTTTATTAACTCTGGTATGTCAGGTTTCTGGGTCTGCTCGGTCTAAATTGGTTTAGTCTTTTCCCGCCCTCATTGTGTGATTCCTGTCAGTGGAGTTGCTGTTTGGGTGGTGCAGCATGAACTCCAGCAGCAGTCCCCTCTGGAGAATCTGGTTACTATAGCAGCGGATGGGTCTGCTGAAGAGACGCTGTTGCCTAAAGGCCTTGTGGTCTGGGATTTACGGTACCAGAGAAGACACCGTTTCAAAGCCTCTTGTTCACGGTTGTAAACCGTGACATTGCTGATGTCAGCGGCATTGCAAAGTTCAGCCGAAGCATTGATAAGTGGCAACGCAAACAGGGAAATCAATGGACAACCGTGCCTGCAGCAACCTGTGCACAACATAACCCTTGGCTGGGTGGGGGAGATAAGCCCTCCTCTACCTCGCTTTTCCACCTTTTCCTGTTTATGCACAAGGCTATCCATGTCAGTAGAGACAGGGGGTTTGAGGATGCAGATTGTGAGCAGATAAGCAGCCTGCCATGCCTGAAATGGCACGGGTGCAACAGAAAGAGCTGCCGTGTAGGTGGAGTTTGTGCATTTCAAGGGAGGGTGAGAACACAGGGCTTGGACATGTGAAGTAAAGTGTGAGGACAGAAAGCACAGCATTTACTGGAGAAGCAGACGAAACAGAGAGTTGTTGGTTTTAAAAGGCTCTCACCGCAGTGTCAGAAGGGAAGTGCGATAATCAGCTTGAAGAATGAGTCAGTAATTTAGTTTCTGTTCACTCGAGACCACAGGGCTCCTTAAACCAACATGAACGCTGATGAGAGTAAACAGCGTTTCGTGTCAAGCCTCAAGCTGCACATCAAGCCTCCACAGTCGTCATGTGCTCAAAGGAACGAGATGATGACCGACACCTGGACCTCTGTCAAGCCTTCTGCAACAGGTAAGGTCTGCATGAAAATACAAAGAGGAAATAAATGTATAAATGAGGCTTCTGGTGTTATTTAAAGCTGACGAGTCCGAGCAGGACAACGCTTCTCCTGAAAGCATACGACACATTACTTTCATGCTTTATAAGATTAGTTGTTTCCTTGTACACATCACGGTTTGTCACTTCTAAATTAATTAATTTATTGAGTTTGCTTCATTAAAATTGAGCGGTCACACATTATTTTATGTTTTATTTTACTAAAAACCTGTAGATATTTTGTCAAAACATAATAAATGTTTGAATTATTGTGTCTTTTTGGTTGAGTTTGTTCAAAATCTAATGTTTATTCGACGTGCACGATGGTCATTTTGTTTGTTAGCTGACAATTTTATGTGCAATGTTTCAAATGTCAAAACTAAGGAACTGAGAAGAGGAAACCAGTAGAACATTAGATGTGATGAAAGTTTATTTTTAACTTAATTCAGCACAACTTTACCTTCAGCCTGCAAGAACAATTAAGTAAAAACAATTAAATAAATAAGTAAGGTAAATAAGTCAATAAACAAATATATAAACAAGTAAATAAACAAACAAAAATAAATAAGTAAGTAAATAAACAAAAATTAAATAGAAAAGTAAGTAAATAAACAAATAATAAATAAGTAAGTAAATAAACAAATAAATAAGTTAGAAAGTAAATAAACAGACAAATAAATAAATAAGTAAGTAAGTAAAATAAACAAATAAATAAATAGATAAGTTAATAAATGAAAAAACATAAAAAATAAATAAATACATAAATACATAAATACATACATAAATAAATAAATAAATAAATAAATAAATAAGCTATTAAATACATAAATATATAAATATGTAAGTAAATGAACAAGTAAGTAAATAAATATATAAATTTATAAATAAGTAAGTAAATAAACAAAAAATACATAGAAAAGTAAGTAAATAAACAATAATAAATAAATAAGTAAATAAACAAAAAATTAAATAGAAAAGTAAGTAAATAACCAAATTATAAATAAGTAAGTAAATAAACAAATAAATAAGTAAGTAAGTAAATAAACAAACAAATAAATAGATAAGTTAATAAATGAAAAAAACATTTAAAAAAAATAAATAAATACATAAATATATAAATATGTAAGTAAATAAACAAGTAAGTAAATAAATACATAAATATATAAATAAGTAAGTAAATAAACTAAAAATACATAGAAAAGTAAGTAAATAAACAAATAATAAATAAGTAAATAAACAAACAAATAAATGAGTAAATAAGCTAATAAATAAATAGATAGTTAATATATTAAAAACATAAAAAATACATGAATACATACATAAATAAATAAATAAGCAAATAAATAAATAAATAAATACATAAATACATAAATATATAAGTAAATAAACAAGTAAGTAAATAAATATGTAAGTAAATAAATAAGTAAGTAAATAAATAAAGATATAAAAAAGAGCCAGCATTTTTTAAAGGACTGTACATGACCTGCCACTTTTGAACCCAGAGTTTTAAACTAAATTCATCTTGGATTAAAAAAAGAGGAATATGTAGCTGCTTTGGTCCAACCCTAGAAATAATATAATGTACAATATTACAAAATGCACAAGTTATGTTTTATGAATCAGTCTCAGCTACTACCACACAAGCTGTACAGTTGTGTTGTCTAAGATTAGTTGGCTGTGGCAGCCATCTTGAACGTGATTGACTCCAAGAGTTGATCACTTGTACATTCAGTGATTACTTCCTAAAAGTTTCAATAAAATCTGTCCAGTGGGTCGTGAGAGCAAATCCTAAAAACTTACCAACAAACTCACACACCGAGGCCAGTGGTCATTTTGCCTCTGGAAGTGGGTGATAAACACCAAGTAATAAAATCACCCCACTGTAAATAAAACCTCACCTTGGCTCTGCGCATGGTTCAGCAAAACGTTTTATGAGGAATAGTTAGCATCGTAAACTCGGGGGTAAAGGTTGGCAGTAAAACAGCTGTTTTGTTAAATTAGTACCCTGCAGATTGCTCCGACATGGGCTAACAATACAAAATAAAATGCAGCCCATAAGTTCATTTTGTGGCATACCTCATCAGTACAACGCACAGTATCAGTGTTATGGCAGGTTATGTAGCAGACACCCCTATTAGGAAGGAATTCAAGTTCCATAAGAAAATAATAATAATCTACTTCCTCTGACAAAAAAAAAAATACAGCACACAGTTCATTTTTAGGCAATGAAGTCACATGCACATCTCTCACAGCCTGACACACTGGAGTTGGATGGATGATGTCAGTGGTTTTCTTGGCACGGCTCACCTTCTTCGTGTTGGTTTAGTATCTGAGAGAAGGAAGAGAAAAGGAGAAAATGTGGAACCTGTTTTGATCAAGATTGTTCAAGTTACATACAGCAAATTACTTCCATACGGTATGCAAACTCATTTCTGAACCCAACAGGTTGAAAACAGCTGAAGTGTAATAAATACGGTGAAACGTCGATTTAGCAAAAGCTTTTGACTCAGTTGCTCATTCCATCTTACTGAAGCAGCTTGACCGTATTAAAATTTCGGGACAGCCACTAACATGGTTCCGTAATTATCTTTTGAATAGGTTGAAGCAAGTGAAGGTTGACTCTCATACTTAACAATTTCTTCCAGTTATGTCAGGTGTACCCCAAGGCTCCATTCTTGGTCCAACTCCTTTCCTC